TGTGTGCGTTTCCTCTGCATGGCGTAGTTTTTTTAACAAACCTCCTCTTTTTAGGGGGCATAGGAGGGCCAACAGAAGGCCTCTTCCTGATAACTGCCATACCAGCCCCCTCCTGCCCACCCCCAAAAACGCGTGATACAAGCTGCCCTGACACATCTCTGACAATTTTTTTAATATTTTTATTTTTTTTAAACAAAAATACAAATCTCTATTCACATTGTGTTCGTGTCATTATTAATACATTCCTCTCCTTTTATACATAAACATCAGCTCTTATTTCTATCCGCCACCCATTTGTACCACCTATCCCAAACCACATAATAGTCCGACTCATCTTTGCCTCTTAATTCCATTGTGAATTTATCCAGTTCCGCACAATCCATTATTTTTTGTGTCATGTTCAGATGGTATCTTTTCCTTCTTCCATCCCTGTGCGAAGGCTATTCTCGCTGCAGTTATATGTATAATGATGTATCGGATGACCTTGCTCAATTTTCCCTTAATTATTCTTAATAAGAATACTTCCGGTTCGAGTTCTAATTTGTGCTGTGATTTCTAACAACAATCTTTGTACCCTCATCCAATATTTTTTAACCTCTGGACACTGCCACCACATATGGAAGAATGTTCCTTCTTTGTGTTTACACTTCCAACATTCTGCTTTTGTGTTTGGATACATGTTGGCCAGTCTTGCTGGGGCTAGGTGCCACCTACAAAACATTTTATATTGATTTTCTTTAAATGCTGTTGACAATGTCAATTTACAGTTGTCAATCCACATTTTTTCCCAATCCTCTAAATTTATATTATGCCCTACATTTTTTGCCCAGGCAATCATTGATCCCTTTACTATTTCCTCTTCTAATTCCACTTCCAACAAAGTTATACATTCTTGTTATAAATTTTATCTCCTTGCCTGTCAAAATTTGGTCCAATTGTTGTAAGTCCTTTTCTATCCCTTGTTCTTCTAAGTCTTTCGTAAATTTTGTCTGAATTTGTAAGTATGACCACCAATCTATAATTATGTCTTGTTCTTTTAATTTATCAATCATTTTTAACTTCCCCTGATTATCTAATAGTTCTTCATATCTGACCATTTTCACATCTCTGACAATGTTATTAGCCACTTTCATGTGCGGTTTAATGATTTCTAAACCCCTCCTCAGTAATGGCATTGCTTTTCCAAAAAGTCCCCAGAACAGGCCCCCTATACCCGTACCATACATAACAGGCGCTCCTCGGAAACCTGGTAGGCCGTTTCCTGCCTGAGTCCTGTAGTAGTCCACATAGGCTTGAGGACTCCCGCTGTTCTTTATCACGACCATCCTTCACTTTTCCGAGGCCTAAAATGAAGCTTGACAATCACCTTCCCATGATAAAAATGCACGTTTTTGTCCTGGTTGGTTTTGATTTCTATAGTAATGGTATTGATGTGATGTTTACTGACCTGGACATAATGTGGACGGTCATAGGTCCTTGTGGTAAGATCATTGTCTTGCCCCCGCACAGGCACACAGCATAGTAATGGCACATAGAAGTCACCCACTATCTGGAGCTCTACAATGTCAGTGTAAACATACAAGGTACTGAATCCAGGGAAGATACCTAACAGGTGTCCAAGTTCTCCGCTAACTAGAATGGCATGAAGTTCATCTCCTTTAAGATTAATTTTTCAAACCACTGTATTGTAATGTAGGGTTGTCTTAGGTCTGTCCTTGACATTTGATATAAGCTTGTTCATATTTTCTAACAGTTGCTAGATGCTGCTATAGTCCCCACTTCTCAAAGAAAAATACCATCTTTCTCTCGTTAGCAATTTCAAAATAGCCAGGAGAAGTTAATGTGCCCCAACTATGTGGATATTGAATCTCTGCCAGACCGACCTCCCATGATCCCAGAAGGTCCAATGATCTTGCTAATTGAATAGTAAAATTAGAATTTTTGTTTTGGGGGAAACTTGCTGCTGATGCATTGCTGGGAACGGTGATGTAAAACTCCACCATATCAAAGATGTTGTACTTCAGTATCCTTAACCCAACTGTTGAACTTCTCCGGCCAGCCAGACCATTTAACTAAGAATTCTCTTTGTTTTCTGCTCCCTCTTTTCCGAAGTATTTTTTCAATTCTGTAGACACGTTCTTGGTCGCTAGGAACCTTTTGAAACTCTTCTGTGTAAAAAGTCCCCTGTACGGGGTCTTTTGCATAATCCATTAATCTATATACAGCCCTTTCTCCCCGCCACACCCTTTCTTTCACAATAAATATTTCGTCTGTAAAACTTTGATGATAATCCTTTTCATATTTTCCCTTTAGTCTGGATATCCTAACGTGCTCCCCCACCTTAAAGGTTTTTAACTTTCTGACCGATTTTAAACATTTTCCGTATCCCTGCATGAGAGCTGGTAATACCTCTACATATCGGTGCATATTTTTAGCTGCAAAATACCTCCAGATTTTATTTTTCAGAGTTTGATTAAACTGCTCTATAATCGCTGCTTTAGTTTCACTATGTGTGACAAAGTGATGTATGCCATAACGTTCCAAAAGATTCTTCAGAGGCTTGTTTAAGAATTCTTTTCCGGCATCTGTCTGTAGCTTTCTGGGGGCCCTTCCTGATTGGAAGATAGTCTCAAAAGCATCGGCAACCCCACGTCCAGACTTATCAGATAAACAGACAGACCAGGCAAATTTGGATAGTACATCGATCACTGTTAAAAATGAATTTTGTGCCGTTGTTTTCAGAGGCAAATCCTGATAAATCCACGAAGTCTGCTTGCCATTGACAGTCTATGCAAGAAAATATTGTGGTGTTCCTAGGAAAATTTATTCTTGCCAGTTTATGAAGGGTATAAGCATCTTGTCCAGAAAGCCATGTCTTGACATGCTTCAAGGTAAGGTTTTTAAAGTGCTTCTTCCCTGCCTTAAGTAGTGCTTTTACACCACCATAGCTACCTGTGCATTTGGGTGTATAATACAGGTCCTTTAGAATATTTTCATACTTCATTCTGCATCATACGATACGTACAATAAACATGCTTTGCATTTTAGCACTGGCCTTTCATTTGTAATTTACAGAAAGTTCACCCACCCTTATTCAGCAACAATAATAATATCCATCATCAGTACAAAAAACACGGTCATCACTATCTTCAACCTCTGTAGTCATCAAACATATACAATCAGCAACACCGCATGAGCATCCTTCAGCAGCATTATCTTCATTAGAAATTTATCTTTTAATGCCCCCCCAGTAAACAACAGGGATAATCATAACTCTTCAGAGCATCATCATTAATATCGTCATTAACAGACGCTGTAAACATGTTGGTAATAGATGTCGTAGGACGCCTACAAACTCCCCCGGACTCTCTAGATTCCGACTCACTTCTTAAAAAATCCGGACGGCTGTCATGTTTATATCCAGGTGCCGTTTCTGTTTCAATATACAAAAAAATAGGACATTACTATAGCTATCACCAGCTCTTTCACCTTGTATTATATACAATTATTATCAGATTTAGTAAAAAGGCAATTTAGTTCCATTTACCTAAACAGCCCTCTGCAGTCTCTTCACTGGTTGAGAGGTTTGTTATTAAGGATGAACTGACGGTGTAACCTGGAACGGAACCTAGAAAATATATTCATTATCTATCACACCGATAACTGAGTTATCAGTATTTACACCTTTGAATATATAACAGGGTTTTACTTACTCATGCCTGTTCCTTGGACCGGCGATAAAGAACATCTTTTAGTCATTTCCCAGCCCTCCCGGTAAGAACCGATATGGTTGGCCACCTCTTCATGTAGTACTGCATCCCGTACAAAACGGCAGATGGCATCCAAACAAAATAGGTCTGAAGCTTGTAAGTCTTCATCAAACATAGTACAACATATTTTATGGCAATCATTCAAAATAGGCCTTGACTCGGGCCATGATGTAGAAGGGTCTACAATCCTTTTATTATTTCCATCGCAAGGTGCCATGTCGTTGTTAAACACAAGCTACACTTTAAACGACTGAATTGTCACCGCTCTCTTTTAACAGTCCAAGAGCATGCCTGGGGCAGGCCCGAGCATGCCCTAAACAGGCTTGTCACACGTGACACCACGAGCATAGTATGCATGCCCTCTATCAAACTGCAGCCAACCGCCCACACATCACCCCCACCGCCCAGGACATACCCCAACCTGTCCTGCAGCCACTTGTCACATGTAAGCATGCACATACCATCCAGCTTTTTATTATCAGTTTTTAAGTCTTACTATTATTTATCATCCCTTACAGCTCTACCATTTGCCCCTCAGTTCCTGAAAAAATACAAAAAGGGCCTACAAAAATATTTCTTTGCAAAAAAAAGTACTTTATTTTTTACATCTCTGCAAAGTAAAAAAAAATCAAATTCCAAGAACAGAGAAGTGACCACTAACATTCCTTGCATTGCCCCTGCAAACAAAGGACAAGGACAAGGGGTGGGGTGGGGAGTCATACTTTGCTCATTATTGCTTTTTACTTCCTGCACTCTCTGGCTCCACGTCTACGGGCCAATGGGAAAGCCTTGAGATGAATAATTAATGTTGCAACACATCAAGACGAAAGGGATTGTGAGACAGGGAGAAGTGGGGCGTTTGCTGTTACAGAGCTTCTGGGTGAAAGGTCCCGGGGGGCAGAGAGGGGTCATCGTGTGGTGATGACACAGCCCTACAGGCTGAGAGAGTTTATGGGACAATGGGTTGCGCCCCACAAAGTTACAGTTCTTCCGGGAAACTTGGGTTTGTGGGTAAAGAGGGTGGGCTTATGACATCATCCCTCCATGGTAATTAGGGGGTGGTTCTATGATGTCACAAAATGGGAGGAGCTACAATGTAAACAAAAATGCCACAAAATGGGCAGGGCTATAAACAAAATACGTCACAAAAAGGGGTGGGGCTAAAGCCCCTCTAAAATTTGGTATGTACTACGTATTACTTGTGGCAATACAAATACACAAGATACTCACTTTTTCTTAATTTTATTATAATTTTTTATCTAAAAGCTGTAAATAGGAAAAACAAAATGAAAACAAAATAAAATTAGAGCAAGAGACAGATCATGGGAGATGGCAAGAAATTCCCGCTTCTAACTCTAAATAGATACCTGGATTGCACATTCCTTCACAGGAATAAAAGTAAAGAAGGGAAGGGGAAGACATCATCCTGGGGAATTACATGTGTGGCTACCTCATCCCCACAGGGGCAGAAGATCAGAGGGAGAAAAGAGAAAACATGTCCCATTGGTCAAATTCATTAGCATGATGTGATCCCAATCTCCATAGTTGGGGAGAAGAAGTATAAGAACCAGATCTGCCAATACAAGATTTTATAAATCCATTCACCAAAGCTGAATGGATTCCAAAGGGCATTTGGATCCCCAGTGACCACAAAAAATATTTTTGCAAGATCAGGATTTTTTGGTATAGTATGCTGGAGACAGTCTAGTCTTCCACTGGCCATATAGTTTTTATGGAGCAGAGTGGGAATCAGGAGTGATGGCACCCAAAGGAAGGACTTCCTATATTAGCTCAATCTATTCCATATAACTGAAGCAAATTACGGACTGAAGTGTCAAAAACCCACAGCACTGTAGGTCTTCCAGCAACCTAAAATAGCAAAAGTTTGAAGCACTTCCTGTTCTTTGCTTAAATCTTTCAGAGTGGCACCAAAACCATGGCGTTGCAAGATCAACTGACATGTATATATTCTCTAAGCAATAACTTCCAGTTGTTCTAGAGCAGCCTTCTCTAACTTAGTGTCCTCCAGATTTGATTATGCTACAGTTCCCATCATCTAATTCAGAATGGCCAAGTTGGTTAGGATGATAGGAGCCTTAGGCCAATACATTTGGAGGGCACCTGCTTGGACAATGCTGCTTCATGAATAGAAAAACCCCACCAAGAGTTGCTCAAGAAATCAGTCAGTGACTTATCTACAGATTTTTAAAGAACTACTTTTCTTTGTTCCTGGGCTGATACTTCTTTTTATGGAAACAGCTGACAAAGTTCCAGGGTTTTCCACAGGCAGAAATCCTAAAAAATGGTGGGGGGTGGGGGGGATATACCAATTATCAGCAATGTTGGGAAAAGAAGCCTAATTCAGTCTAAGGGGTCCAGAACTGGGAATTTATTGGGCAAGGGCCAGGGTAAGGGAGAGAAGGAAAATAGAGAGGTGAACCCCTGCCAAAGGTTGAAAGAAAAGCTGTCCATTCCATCCAGAATAGGAAACAGAAGCCGCACAAGGAGAAAGAGGGAGGAGCAGCAATCACAGGAAGTAGTCCGCAACAGGCTTCTTAGATGGGATGCCTCGAGTTTCTTGAGGGGCTGCTTCAAAGATGATAAATTCCTTCTGAAGGTGTTCATCCAGCTCCAAGATGGCTGCAACATTCCCACAGCTGTGGTTGGAAGAGAGAAAAGGGGTCAAATTGGTGTGTTTCAGATTTCATCAATGACACACATCCCTGGACAACACATTCAGCTGATTTCAATCTCCCTCTCCCCATCCCATAGTTCTTCCTATTCACAGGCATACCCTTGCAGTTTCTTACCGGTAGCAATAGTTGGGGGCTGACCACACTGTAAGAACTGTCCCATTGAAATGCCATTTGTATCCCTCCATGACCAGCTGATGTGCCCGGCAAATCATGTTGATATCATTTGCTGCATTGAACTGCGCCACCACGTCGCTGCCAAATAAATAGCCAGCACCTCGAGGACTAACCCCCCAGCCTGTAGTGTCTAAAGTAGCAAAGGAAGAGAATGTTGACACAAGGGAAACCAAATGGCAGGCAAATGCTAGGAAAAGGAAACATCTGGGCTTGCAAGCTAATAGAAAGGGCGTTGGTACTTACCTGATACGCCCGTTCTCTTTGAGCTGTGAAGAGCATCCAGAAGTGGGTGGTGCTTCAGTCTCTGCATTCATAGGCTGAGCTTGATTTTGAGGAACGCTCCTCCTCCTCCA